CTGCCGGTTCTGTGACAGGGAGCCTGAAACTCCGGAGCATCTGCTGATCGACTGCACAGCAGTCTGTATTCGCAGAGCCAAGGCCCTTGGAGTTCCATTTCCGGATAGGGATCGCATTGCCTCGCTAGCGCCTAGCAGCCTACTGGACTTCATCAATGGGCTGGGGCTAAGTGAGGCAATGTAAGGAAGGAGGGGGAACAATAGACCAAAGGTCGCAGTGCATTCCTCATTATCATTCATTCATATTTATCTTATTTACGTATTACATGGTGCATTACAGATCCTGAGAGCATTTTTCTGGCACCAACGCTGCAGCCAGCTACGGTCTGGCCAATACTCTTCACTGAGGTTTAAAGCAGATTGCTTTTCCTTTAGCAAGGTAGGTCCGCGCATATGTATAACATGGCTTTTCCTAGTGAACGTGCTTGATTTTTTTTAATTTTTTTTTATTATGTATCTTGTCATTGGTTTTAAAACGTTAAACGGTGCTGATGCTTATTTTGTACTTTGCAGCTCCTTTCAATTGTTGCTGGCTTATAAACATTTAAAACTGCAATTTTTTGCAGATGTATCATTTAATTTCTGTTGATATTTCGTTTAATTTAAAAATATAGAAAGACCAAAACTTTTCAAAGAAAAACTCAATTTGTTTGGCTCTTACGATTACTCTTTTGTCTGGAGAAGAGAAGAGCGCCGCTCAGTGAGGCTAATGTGGTTAGTATTATAAACTAAAAGGTTTGTGGGAAATGATGGCAAATTGAGACGGTTTGTTTTGTTTTAATGAAGGCGTTATTAAGAACAAAATGACTTTCTTGGACATATTAAACTACAGTTGCCAGCAACATTTACCTTTATGTACGACAACGATCCAAATTTATTTATAAAGTGAAAAAACTGTTGCCACAACTTCCATAGAGCCCCCATCTTCATCCCATTGCGCATCTCTTCGCGACAATATGCCGCAGCTATTGAAGGAATCTGAGACAACGTTTTAAGAGAAACGTCGACTCCATGAGGTGACCTTTATAAGCTGCAAAGGGGTACTAGCTAATACAAGTAATTATAACTTCCTTTGTTTCTTTCATTTAATTATTGTCGCACTGTTTTCTTAAATTAAAAATTGTAATTTATGTAGATTTTGTGCATAAATTTATGTAATCGAAAATTATTTACAAATTTGATTCCGAATATAAAATACGCACTGAAAACCTTATTTTTAAAGTTTGTTTTTTGAAAATGGGTTCAGTTGTACACAAGTTTTAGAGGTCTTTACGCAAACGTTACAAGTGTGACCCTCTATTTTTGGGTCATTGTATATATGTTTGGTTATTCATTTCGTATTTATCGCGAAGCAATATTATATTATATATGTATATATTAATATTTTGAATCTGCATATTAGTGATGTAATAATTTTTGTCTTACTCCTTTTGTATTGACCTTGAACGCATATGTTGCTTTCGTTGAAATGATACGTCCCCACGAAAATCGGTTGATTTTGCACAGTCTGAGGCTGCAAGAGATTCTATGGCATTCACAACACCTGTAGCGACCAATATAGCTTGGTGGTTTGTTTCTCTAGTATCTTCGCATAAATTCGATTGGGAATCGGTAAGCATTTTCCCGGCCGATCTATGGTCTGGGCTCTAAAAAGATGTGATAAATATATGTAATTAATGTAAATATATTGTTAACTGATAACATAAATATACTATATTTAAGATATATTCATAAATATAAAGCTGCAATTCATATGATAGAGCTTTAGCAATATTTCGAAGTGCCACCAAAAAATCAATAATAAATAGCCCCTAGGTGTAACCGAACATTTTATATAATCGCAATTTGCAAAGGTCACAGGCAGGGTAATACCTTCGGCTTCTACACTCAGCGAAATAAGATAAGTATAACATGAACTATATAGTTTTTCTAACTATACGAATAGGAAAAAGTATATTATAAATCTGTGTACTAAGTAGTGAGGTAGGTAGGCTGCATCTGATAACTGTATTTATATAAAGCGTACTGCGACTAATTTTTATATTATATATTAGCTATTTTGTTGGCGCTCATTCGAAGAATTTATAAGACCAAGCAGAGTTACCTAAAGTTAAAACGTAGAATAGGTTAGTTCTGTTAGATTTTTTCTTTTCATTAAATTTTTTTAGGTAAAATATAAAATGTAATAATTTTTTTGCGCACAATATTTGTAAAAATACCTCGCGGTACCTCTTAAAACAGGAAAAGTTTTTAGCGTATGGAGAAGAAAAGTTTACTGCTCGTGAAATAGGGTATAAATGAAAAATTCTTCTAATTCTCAAAATTTTCTCGATTATGAATTTAGACACCAGTTTGAGACTTCCTCAACTAAAGTTGTCAATGTTGTAACTGGTTCCGCAACTAGCCACTTAGGACCCATCCGAAAATGATATTTTGCGGCAGAAGTGCATTTGTGATTTTCTCAATACCTTCGAGTATTATCTGTCGTATGAGATCGCTGCCTAGTAGAAGATCTATTTGAGCGGGGGTGTTGCAGTTTGGGTCTGCTAGCTTTAGGTGTGAAACCTTTTGCCAATGCTTGCTATTTATGTGATAGCTTGGTAGCATATTGGTTAATTGCGGTAAGACAATAGCTGCTGCTTGTATGCGCTTATCCGCTTTGGGGGAAAAGAGGGTAATAGGGCAGATTTTATTTGAGTTTTCAACCACTCTTCCGCCCATTCCCGTGATTTCAAAATTGGCCAGTTTTGTTGGCAACTGTAGCCTGTTTTGTGCCCTAGACGCTATAAATGATCGTTGTGATCCTTAGTCTATTAAGGCTCTGAGTTTAAATAGTTCTCCTCGGTGTTCGATGGAGACAACTGCTGTGGGTAATAGTATCCTACTGTGATTTTCAACGCCTTTGAGCAGCATGGTGCTTCTTGGCAGTTTCCAGAATTTGTTGTTGTAAGTAAACCTGTTGCTCTTTTTATGTTTACGCTGTTTGTGGGTGAGCTGGAAAAATTTGTTATACGTAACATTGAATGATGTCTTTTATAGCAGTAAACGCAATTAAATTTGCTTTCGCAATCTTTAAGCGTATGCGCATGTGACAAACACCTGGTACATAGTTTTTTTTGTTCTTACGAAATTGTTTCGATCGCTAATATTCATTTTTTGAAATTTTCGCGCGATTTGAGTTTGTGACTTCCTCCACAAAGTTCGCATGACGTTTGTTTATATTGTTCGGATGTGAACGATTGATTTTTAAAATAGCTTCTATTTAAATTATTGTGGCTACTTGGTGGGGGTCTATTGAAGCTTCTAACGATTTTTCTGGTAATCCGGCTGTGCATATATTTACCAGAATGGGGTCCCAATTATCTGCGGGAATATTCCGTGTCGATAGAACCGACAAACAATTTAAAACCGTGGATTGAAGCTTTATGAATTCTTCACTGGTTTCTTTCTGAATTTTTGGTAAATTCATTAGTATCGTCACTTGCTTGTCGACCAATATTCTCTCGTTTTCGTAACGTGCTTTCAGAGCTTCCCAAGCAAAACTAAAATTTTTGTCATTGGAAGCGAACTGTTTGACTATTACGCCTGGCTGACCTTTGGTTTTATTACGGAGGTGATGAAATTTTTGTGCATAAGATAATTTATAGTGGTTTATGTAAACGGCTGTGAACATGTCCCGGAAGRRCGGCCATTGTTCATAACCCCCATGAAAAATTTCTGTGTCACATGCGGGCACCTTGAGGTGGATGCCTGAACTTGCATCTTGACTTTGTACTTGTGGCATCTCTACTCGCGGAATTGGAGCAGGTGAAATTGCTTTAATTAGTTTCAATTGATCAGTTTATCACAATTTTTGTGTCTTCATACTGGTCTAAGCAGTTTTCAAATTTGGCGTAAGCAGAAGATTTAAAGTTTTCTGGTAGATCTGAATCGTCAGTATCTACAATTGCGTGATATGCAGCCTGGAGACGTGTCCAATAATTTTCAATTGTTTGGCTTTTTATTTCTAGCGCCGATTCAGAATTTTCTTGCATCGGCGAGGAAGCAAATCGATTGCAATATTTTATTAGACAGTCACTCTCAGAAATCATCTTTGGGACTTTTAAATATTGTATTGATTTAGATTCCTTAGAATCTCCGTTCATTTAGATAATATGATAAAATTGAAAATATGAGAGAAAAAAATTCTCTCCGTGTACTTCTGATAATAATAAGTACACGTGAAATCTTTAAGATGAAAAGTTTTTTATTTTTGTTATGTTGATACGTAATGTATCAAATAACGAACGCGTCTTTCGTTTTCCTTATACCCGGTGCTTATGTATTTAGCTACTAATTTGTTCTTGTTTTTGTTTTTTATTTTATTTAATGTTTCGTCCTCGTTAGTAAATACTTGCGTATACGAACGATAATGCAAAAGGAGAAAAAGGTTGATGACCTTTGTGTATGAGTTTGCGCAATATGTGCGTGTTTATGTGCATACGTAAGATGCTAAATATTATTTTTTTATTTTTTGTTTTTTTTGCAATCCTGCTTGCTTATGCTGTAACAAGAACAAGGGGTATGCTGGACAGATGCCGACTTGGTCTTTGAATATAAGTATGTGTGTGTAAACACTTGAAAATGCCAATACGTATGTATGATCTTTCTACCAACTGTTTTTTGTTTTATTTTGACCGTACATTTTTTGTTAATTAGCAAATTTTAAAATTTTGACCGTACATTTTTTTTTTAATTAGCAAATTTTAAAATTTTTAATAAGTTGAAATTTCGCATTTACCGCTTTATTTTTTCAGAGTTTTGTATTATTTGTGAAATTTTACTTTAATTTTATACCCGATGTACGTTGTATATACCGGCATATGTACATATGAAAGTGGTGATTATTGTAAAGTATAAGTGTGTATAAGTAAATGACAAAAACTTTTTTTTTTTTTTTGAATATCTAGGTTATTTGTAACAATTAGCCATAAATAGCAAAATAGTAACAGAGGCAATGGCATATATATAATTCAAAACCAAAAAAAAAAACGGCATGTACTCCGTTTTGCACCATCCGTTATTCGCACATATTTTTTCTGTTCTTACTTTCTTAGCAGCAATTGACCTGGAGACTTATCGTTATATGAATTTTCTTATTCATTATTCGTCGTCATAATTAAGAGGAATCACTCATTTCCACAAGTTTTTAGTCAATTTATTGAATTTGGAAATTAGTTTCTAACTTTTTCTTGCAAAATGAAGAAGCTGTCTCCAGATAAAGAAAATAGTATTGTTTCCCTGACTAAGAGTAGCTGTTCGACACGCACTATTGCTGAAAAACTGCAAGTTAGTCAATCAGTGGTAGTCAAAGTGCAGAAAAGACAAAATGTTTGTGTTGAAAACATATTGAATGGTCGCCGCCGTCTCCTGAGAGACTCTGACGCTCGACTTATGAAATAAATAAAGGAGTAAGTCGATGGACAGCTAGAAGAGCGCTGGGTAGGATTGGTTACGTAGCAGTTGTGAAAAAAAACAAACCAGCTTTATCCGAGAAAAATGTTAAGGCACGACTAAATTTCGCCAAGGCACACAGAAACTGGACAGTTGAAGACTGGAAACCGGTTTATCTGGTCGGACGAATCCAAGTTTAACCGTTTTCAATCGGATGGAAAACAGTACTGTTGGCGTAGACCCGATGGCAAGCTTCAAAGGCATCACGTGAAGCAAACAGTAAAACATGGAGGAGGCAGCATAATGGCTTGCGGGTGCTCCACGTTTTGGAACGTGGGACCGTTGCACAAAATTGATGGGATTATACGTAAGGAAGATTATTTAAGTATTTTGCAAACCCAGCCTCCCAATTTTCTTGACCAGTGTGCGTATCTAAAGCATGAAATCACTTTTCAACAAGATGGAGATCCCAAGCACACTKCGAAAATTGTAAAAGAATGGCTGGGAAACCAAAATTTTAAGGTGATGGAGTAGCCAGCGCAAAGTCCCGACCTCAATCCAACTGAAAACCTATGGTCAATTGTGAAGCGACGGCTCGGACTGTATCAATCAGCCCCATCCAACCTAAACGATCTTTGGGGGC